AGGCCGGGGACCCGTGCAGAGGGTGCCCAGGCCGAGGGCAGCGCATGGTGCACAACGACATCGCCGCGGTGACCTCGGAAACTTGTTGTGAATGCCCGGTACACCCGGTACGATGATACGCATGCGGCAAAGTCGACTCCACCTCGGAGGGTCGAAGTGATACAAAAGTTGTGTCACCGTGCCGCATGAGGCAAATAAAAGGGCCAACGCCCCACTGCCCTCGTAGTGCACGCACGCCCTGCCGCACCCTTGCCGTCGGCCACCACCACAAGGTCGTTTGGTTCCTGTCCCAGTGACATCCGCACTGCCTGCCACAGTGTGTCGTCAGCAATCGAAGAGTGTGTTACTGCTAGGAGAAAACTAAGGAATACATGTGATAGTCTCATTTCCAAAGGCGGATCCAGAGGCGTGATCGGGGATGTCGCAGAAGTCGCCTACCTACCTACAGGGGCTAAGTGTAACTTGTTGCCTACCTGTCAGCCGCCGCCCCCTCTCCCCCCCCCCTTCCACCCGGATCCGCGTCTGCTCATTTCACATGACAGATTTTGTTTGGATTTCTCGATTTCTTGATACCGACGATACCCTCCTCACTCATGAAAGTCTCTCACTTGCGAAGTTGCGACGCAGTTGTTGGAACTCACCGCACCGTTCCTGGGGTGCTGGCGTCGAGTAGCGTGTAACGCTGTAATTCTCATCCGTCTGCCGGACACAGTAGCCTCGCAGCCAGGGGCCATAGAGGACAACTTCGAATTTCTCATACGTCTCGCGAATGGGTAGCCTTTCCCCGGGGGGTCTCGTTTTGTGTAGCCAACCTGAAACATCTGCCGGGTCGCCCATCATACCACCCTGCTTAACCTCAGTCTTTCTGCGACCGGCCTAAATATTTTTTAATTTATTTATTTTAAATTTTTTTTTTAAATTAATTAAAATCACAAATTAAACTCTTTTAAAATTTAAAATTTAAACGCAAATAAAAAATAAAAAAAATTTAAAAAATTTGGGTTTTTTATATTTCGGCCGATCGTGCATGGTAGAGTTGAGCCCATCTCATTGTTTGATAAGTTTTAAAAATTATTTAGGTCAACTTCTATCAAAACTGTTATGATATGAAACAATAGAGAACATAACCAAAGCACGGCCTCTATACGGTCATTCCCCAGTTTTCTAACCACTGCCCTAGTGATCCTGGCCAGGACCTCAACCCTTCTTCTTTCCGTTCTTCCCTCAAATCCCCTGGTTCCTAAATCCCATTGGCCATGCACCCCCACTCTCCACCATACTGTTCTTCCCTATGTTCTTCTGCATCTGTAATATAAAGGCGCGTTGTCTGGCGCCAGCCACCATTCTGTACACGGTCACCTTGTTGATAATACAGAAGCTTCCGTCTCCACGAGACCTTCGACTACCCTTTCCCTCCAAGTCCCTTACACTGCCACACTATAACACTGGTGACAGCGGTGAATCGGGCTTTGAGGTTAAGGTCGGTCAATGCCTTCCCTGTTAGGGGGGAGGAGAGTGAATGATAGCGCGAGAGTTTGAACTTAGCAGTTTTCGAGTCAGTGAGTGTAGTGTGTGAACTTGAAGCTAGTAGAGGCCCCCAAAACCCAATACCAGCGTGTGAATCGTGATTGAAAAAGCTGCTAACTCAAGCTAACGAAAGTGGATATTTGTGTGTGTAATTGAATCAAGCTTAGCCGCTGAGGCCAGGCCCCACCTGACTCCAGAGGTTAGGTTTTCGAGGTGACTCTGGTGAGAAAAAGTGTTGGAAACTCGCCGCAAGGTTTGAGTGTGTCCAACGGGGTACAAGGAGTGCTAGAAATAGTCTAAGGCACCTGCTACCTGAGTGAATAGTCACCACCTGCATTCGTTGCTGTGTGAAATTACTCACTTACGGAACGGGTACAACCTGTAGATGCACAAGTAGTGTGACGTCCACCTGCATTAAGTTTGCTGCGTGAAATTGCCTACGCGAGCGCTACAGCTAATTTAAGTCTGTTTGATACGTGACCAAGTGACGTCCACCTGCATTCGTTGCTGCGTGAAATTGCCTGCTCACTCATTAAACAAATCAGCCCCCATTGGCACTTGACGAGGTCCACCTGCATTCGCTGCTGCGTGAAATCATCGAGAACCAGTGCTTGACTGATACAGGAACAATTTCCTACTGCCCGTAAGCATGTCCCCCTGCATGCTGCTGCGTGAATTGCCGCATGATCAGTAAAGCTACAAGTTCGGTTTTTACCCGCATTGATTTCCCCCTGCACACGCCTGCTGAGTGAATTCGTGCTGGGTGAGGCTAGTTAAAGGCCTACTCTGCCACTGTGTCAAAGTGACCAGCTGGCATCGGCTGTGCTATTTTAAGGAGTGAGTGAACTAGTCCCAACTTAGAAATTAGAGGCTTAAAAACAAGTCAAAACTTTTTTAAAGCAAGTTAGATTTCCCCCCAAAACCCCTGTTTTAAATCCTCCCGCAAAACCCGGTCGCCGCAAACTCCATAATTCCACTTTTCCCTTGCGGGCAATTTTTGAACCAAAAAGTCCGCTTCACACGACCCCCGTCCACGAGCCCAGGCCCCCGCCCAATCCCCCCCGTAGAAAGGCGCCGCCCTTTAAAATCTTGTACAACCCCCCTGGGGGGACTAATAAACCATCCGACCCAGGCCCCCCGACGTGAGGAAGAATCCCCGCGGCAAAAGCCCTTCCGCCCCACGGGTGAACCGGGGAGGGCCTAGAGGCCGGGCCTGGCCACCAGGGGGGGGGACGGGAGGTTTTTTTCCAAAAACAAGAGCCCCCGCCGTGTACAGACCCTGGGCCTAGGTTGAACCAGAGGCACAGCCCGTGCAGAGCAGCACGAAGCGGTCGGGCCCCCCGGCCCCGCCCCGGGGGCCCCTCAATGGCTGGGGACTTGGTGGGCATGTTAAATAGAGGAAGACGACGAGTACGACCAGGCCCACGCCGCCGTCGACGCGCGCACCCCTACCCCGCAAAGGGTAGGCGCGATCAGCAAGATAATCTACAGCCCCAACAATTCTACAATCTAATGCGTGACCTAATTAATCGCGCTCCTCCAGCACACATGCAACCAGCAGCTACAGTCACTTCCACATCTGGCTATGTACCACCGTACAATGGTAGCACAGGGTACGATGTCTACAGAGCACAATTTCTGAGCATCGCAGAACACAAAAACTGGTCCGAACAGGAAAAAGGGGCGTTCCTACTGCAGGCCCTACAGGGGGAAGCTACCAAGGTCATTCGAACCTTGACCACACAAAATAGGCCATTAACATTTGCCAATTTAGATGCTGAGTTAGAAAACACTTTCCATATGGAGAGAGTTGTGGGAGAGGACTCGATTTTACGAGTCACTTAAACAGGAAGAGGGAAAAACTCTGAGAGATTATGCTCAGAAAGAAAAGGGAAGCTGTGGTCGATTACATCCCAAACAGCAATCAAATCGATGGGGATCAAGCCGGTGTTAAGGCTTTCATAAAAGGGGTTAACAGATAGGAAGGGGGCTGAGCGTATTTGCTATGCATCGGTCAACTCAGTAGAAAAAGCACTCACCATGTAAAAGGGCACTGTCTCTGACCTCAGAGGCGCCCAGTAAAAAGGTCAGGAAGGTGGAAGTTGATGTTTCAGACGATAATGCTGAAGTCAACTACACCGACCAGGAAGCAGCACCTGGAACAGGGACACAAACAGGTAGAGGCAGAGGCAGAGGCCGAGGCCGAGGCAGAGGCCGAGGCCGGGGTGGCCAAACAAGCAGTGACTCCAATTGCCACACATGTGGTAAACCAGGGCACTTCGCTGCAGCCTGTCAAAATCATTTGACTTGCTACTACTGTGGGAAACGCGGTCATATCAAGCCAGACTGCAGGCTTCGCATTGCTGATAAATAAAGGGTCGCTATCAGGAACACAGCTAAAATACGAGCAAAATCAGAGTCAAACTCTAACGGCAAAACAACTATAGAGGCACCTCTCCCCCAAAGGGGGCAGAGGCGGGGCAGTTACAATAGGGGGCAGTATAACAATAAAAATAGTAAAAACAGTGACTCAAAAGGACCATATGTCCGATTCCCTGAGGCCCCACCGGATTTTCCCAAGGCAATGTCATGGTACGCAGACACAATCCACTCCAGGGCACGCACGAAGCACCCCAACCCCAAACACTCAGGCTAAAATAATACACAAAATGACAGTAAGGTAAATATGCCATACTTTCCCCAAAACCGGAAAACCAATAAGGCCTTCTATTGAGCCAATGGAAATAGAGGTCCCCAGAATTATAAGACCATTGGAAACCGAACCTATTTCTGTACTAAGGACTCAAGTGTCCCCTCCTGTCATTACAAAAGCTTGCAAACATAAACCCCAAATTTTGGGCAAAGAAAATATTAACCCGGCACATAAATTAAAATGGCAGTTTCCCTTCCCCATAAGAAAGGCCCTCTGGTAAACTGCCTTGTGGCAGGCGAGGCCAGAGAAGCTATCGTTGATACTGGAGCTACTATAACTGTCTTTAAGGGGACCCGTAATTTACCTGTTTCTAAATTACGTTTAAAAAAGTGCAACATCACACAAGACATCACTGTATGGGCCGGAGTGGACTGATGTTAATTTGGGAAACCCAAACTTATAGGTTCCCAGTTTATGAGGCTGATATTACTGAAAATCTAATTGGCTATGTTTTCATTAAACCATTTGAAGGTGTTGTAAACACCAAAACAAAAATGCTCGAACTTGAAAATGACATTCAAGTTCCATACAAAGTAGTAAACCCCGTGCACAAGGGAGTTTTCGCCAGGGGCAATCTGTCCTACCCCATACGTGCTAATCAGAAAATCTTGCTAAAACCTTTCGTAGAGAGGCAGGTTTCCACGAAGTTGGAAACTGACCTGGTGGTTGATGAGTCGAGTTGTCTGACGCGTTGCTTGCCATGACGATTAATGGGTATAGTCCCCCTCCGGAGTCGGAAAGGAAACTGTCCACTTCTGCTTCACCTCCGAAACGACATGCCACACAGTGACGTCTCAGGCAAGAGCGGAGGGGGCTGATCATCGCCAGCTTGACAGCCAGACCGGTCATCGCCAGCTTGACGGTCTAGAAACAAAGAACAAAACCATGGTAAAAGATTGTGAATGGGGGGGCCAACGCACAGAAAGTGAACAAACATTGGGGAAACCAACCACCCGAAAGAGCAGAAGGCAAGATGCATGTTGGTTTGTTAACAGCCAGTAAAAGTAACCTAATGTTAAAAGTCAAATCTCAGAAAAAATAGTCACACAAAAGGCGTTTTACCGTGTGTGACAGGCCCAGTAAATGTAACTCTACTAAATCTTGGAGACACTTGTGTCCAAATTCCCAAGTATGCAATTATAGCAGAAGTCCTACTACTCCACCCCCTACAGTTTATGGTCTTGAGGATGAGGCAAAACCCCGATTTTGAGGAGGACTTAGAAAGGGGGGAAGAGAGTGGATATGAAAAGGGTAATGAAACTAATAATGAAAATTAAAAAGTGTCCCTGTCGAGCAGTCAACATAGCAAAGGGACAGAACATCTGAATTTAAATGAGCATGAAATAGAAAAATTTTCCCTGATGCAGAGTACAAGTTGCCAGAAAAAGAACCCATTCCAGAAAATATGCCATTACCTGCAGACTTAGATGCCATGATCAAAGCCACTGCCTTGCCACCAGAACAGAAGGTAGAAGTAGAAAAACTCATTCGCAGACACCACGATGTATTTGCACCAGACAACTTCACATTTGGTCGATGTCCATGGATGAAATTCAGGATAGACACCGGCGACCACCCACCCATCAAACAAAACGCACGTCCAGTACCCCTGCATTACAGAAAAGAAGTATATGAAACATTTATGAAATACTTAAAAATGGGAGCCATCAAACCCAGCCAGTCCGCTTGGGCATCACCCATTCTCTGTGTCCTTAAAAAGACTGGAGAAGTTAGAGTTTGTGTAGACTACAGAGCACTCAATGCCATCACTAGAGTTCCAGCAGCACCAATACCCAGAACACAGGAAATTCTACAAAATTTAGGGGGACACAAACTGTATCACACCTTTGACTTAGCACACGGGTACCACAACTTAGAAGTACACCCTGATGACCAACCCAAAACAGCTATTATTCTACCAGAAGATTTGGGACTACCACACAGGCAGTTTGAATACACTCGATTGAGTTTTGGGCTCTCTGCAGCCCCAGGGGCATTCCAACAAGTCACAGACAGACTAGTCACACCAGCCTTGGAACCCAACAAGCACAATGATTTAGGAAATACTGTGTCTGTTTACCTGGATGATGTCTGCATAGCTGGAGACAACTTTGAACAAATGTTGCAACGGCTGGAAGCCTTCCTTAATAGAGTCAGAGCTGGAGGGTTCCTCCTCAAAGCCAAAAAGTGTGAGTTGTTCCAAAGGGAGATTTCCTTCCTAGGACACATCCTGTCTGAAACAGGAATAAAAGTAGATTCAAATAAAATCGATAAAATCATTCATTGGCCACAGCCAAATGACAGTTCAGAATTAAAGTCATGGCTTGGTCTAGCCGCCTACTATGGCAAGTACGTACCTCATATGGCCAGCAAGGTTTCACCCTTGTACCGCCTACTCAGAAAAGGAGTCCACTTTGATTGGACGCCTTATTGTCAGGAAGCTTTTGACTCTGTCAAAACAGCTCTCACCACTGCGCCAGTCCTTGGTTCTCCAGATGTGGATAAAGGACCATTCACGTTGACTTGTGATGCCAGCCTCACTGGCCTAGGAGCAGTCCTAACACAAGAACAAGACGGCAATGAAGTAACAATAGCTTATTGGTCTAAAACATTAACCCCAGCACAGAGAAACTACTGTGTCACTCATAGGGAACTCCTAGCATTGGTGGAGTCAGTGAAAGCCTTCAATCATTATTGGCTGAGCGATAGCGAAGCCTGTTACTCCAGTGCGGTTGAAAAGTTTTGTCTGTCTGTCTGTCTGTCCGTCTGTCTGTCTGTCTGTGTGTGTGTGTACACTACTCCTCCTGAACGGCTCGGCCGATCTGGCTGAGATTTTGCAGGCTTAGTAGGTATGTTCTTGGCTCGCCACACGCGAAATTTCACTGTCCTAGCTCAACTGGTTCAGTTTTTATAGCCGAAAAACACTTAAAAAACGGCGAAAAATCGAGTTTTCTGCAGGCAGATCACTTCTGTCGTGAAGAAAGGGGGGTCTGGGGGGCGGAGCCCCCCAGCCCCGACAATTAAATAAGTTACGAGGGTCAAGATCGTGTTCTCTGTAGATGAAGCAACTCTATCTATATTTGAGGGGGGTCTGGGGGGCGGAGCCCCCCAGCATGCAACAAGTAACCGCCGACGGACAAGCCAATGCCTGCCAAAGGCAGGCCAGCGCCGCAGGCCAAGGTAGGTACGCCAGGCGCGGATTGGAGAAACAGGCCGCGAGACATCGCGAAGCCTGTTACGACAAGACGCTGTCTGGCGTAAACCTACCTTGTCTAGCCGGAGCACCTTTCATAGTAAAATCAGATCACGCAGCCTTACAGTGGCTCAAAAATTTCAAAAACCCTACGGGCATGTTAGCAAGATGGTTGGAAAAGTTGTCTCCATACAAGTTCACAGTTGTGCATGAAAAGGGCACTAACATCAGTCATGCAGATGCACTAAGTAGACGGCCAAATAGGCCATGTGAACCTAACTGCAAAAAGTGTACAAAAATCGAAGCTAAAGACGCAACAGCTTACCTCATCAGCTCCACTCTTGTGGAAGGGTTAACGATCCAGGAAATCTTCACATCAGTACTTCAGGCCCCCAACACAGCACCAGTAGTTCACCCAATCAGCTTGGAAGGGAAGTTCTCCTCTCCACTGGCCAGACAAATCGAAGAGTGGTACCAAGTCAAACGAGACTTCCACTCGAACACAGACAAAACATTCCCCGGGCTGTGCACCTACAACAGAAACAACAAAACAATCATTAGTCTCATTGTCAAGGAAAAGATGGAGCACAGACCACACATTAATGATGTAGAAATAACACTAAACATCCTGAAAGCTTGGCTCATCAACAGAAATATCACTGAGTGGAATCTACCAGAGTTTGACTATTACAAAAGTCCAGAAAACAATTTAGAAATAATTCCACTACTCTACAAAGTATTCAAAGACACAAACATGACCATCAATATCTGTCACCACCACACCCAGCCAGACCCAACTAAGGTGAGAACTTGTGAAGAAAGTTGTCGCATTTGCCAAACAGTCGAAGAGAACAAAAGAGTTACAGAAATTCTACACACTGCAATCTCACCTGAAGGGGAAACATCACTAGAGATGGCATCACTACAGAGGGCAGACAAAGACTTAGCCCCAATCATCACAGCAGTAGAGAAAGGCCAGAAGCCCCTCCTTCAAGATGTCATCAAGTTTGGGCGCAATACCAGAACACTTTGGCACCAATACAACTCCTTAACACTTCAAAATGGAGTACTCTACAGGAGATTCGAGGACCCAACAGGAGACCCTGCAAAAGAAACACTCCAATTAATATTACCCAGAGCCAGCGTAAAATTCACAGTCAGGGAATACCATCAAAACTTGGGAGAAGGGAATCATTTGGTGAAACAATGACACTCAATTACTTACGTGGGTTTTTTTCTGGGGCCCAGAATGGCCGATGATGTAGCAGCACACATATCCAATTGCGCCCTTGTCAAAGGTTCAAGAAACCGAGACACCCCCCCAAAAAACGCAGCACTCAAAATATTCAAGGAAGGAACACTCCATGGCAGGTGGCATGTAGATATTTGTGGCAAAGTACCTAAAACAAAAGAAGGATACGAGTACATTTTAGTGGCAATAGAGGCTTTTTCAGGCTGGCCAGTTGTAGTCCCACTTGTTAAAAATGATGCTAAAGAAATTGCAACTGCACTAAAAACCCCATTTTTTCTCAGTTTACGGAGCACCAGTCTCTATCCTTTCGGATCAAGGGACACCCTTTGAGTCACAACTTTTCCCAGGAAATAATGGACTTGTACCAGAAAAAGAAATATCGAACAACAGCCTTTCACCCTTCAGCCAAGGGAAAAAAAGTGGAAAGGTGGATCAAAACCCCTCAAACAGCAGTTGGCAATGCTTGTAAATAAAGTCCAGAAAGAGTGGGTGAAATATTTACCTCACATAGCTCAGGCGTACAGGAACTTGCCAAATCCAGTCCACAAGTTCTCTCCATATGAAATGATGTTTGGCACAACAATGAGGACTCCACTCACACTGAATCAAGGAAGCCCACCATGGACAAAGGACGTTGGAACCATGCCGCAACAAATCAGAGAGCGTCTGGACCAAATCCACGAACTGGTCAGGGAGATGCAAGAGTCGGCTGCAACAAAAATGAAACAACGATATGACAACACCGCAATGCTGACCCCATTCAAGGCAGGAGACAGGGTCTATCTCTACAGACCGAGAGGGATTAAAGGAGTCTCCCCAAAGTTAACATCACCATGGGAAGGACCCTACACTATACTAAATATCTTAAACGACTGTAACGCAAGAATTCAGAAGGAAGCTCACCCATATACCATGATGATAGTCCACACCGACAGACTGGCAGCATATCCAAACTCCGAGGAAGAAACTTAAGCTGCATGGCTCACATACGTCTGAGTCATCCAATAACCAAGGACAACACGGCAACGGGCCAACACGACTGACCAAAGGTGAAGGAAAGGGCAGCCTGGCCTTGCCCAGGTCTCCGATATGGTCTGTGGCAATCGCCGCCGGCCACCCACTCGGGGCCCGGCCTTCGGGGATCCTGTACCAGTTGGTGTGAAGCTTGCTATCACAGGACCCGATAGCGAGCTGAAATCTCAGTCTGCATGTACGCCATGTAGGCATTCTTCTGGTCGCTCTCGACGAAAAACTCCACTTACATCCCGACCCGGACACGGGACCAGGCCGGGAACGGAAGAGGCAACTTCCAGCCCAACTACGCCGGCGGGGCCGCCCGGGGGGCTATCCCCGACATAAAGCCTAGGCCTTTCCCTGGCAACGCCCCCGGGGCCCCCATACAAAAAAGGGCCCGCCGGTACCCGGTTCCACTGGCCAGATGGAAAAGACTGTCCCCCGGATCCCAAGCCTGAAACAGCCCCGAGCCCCCGACACCACAATGATGCCGAGAGTCCCCCCGGGGGAAAGCCGCGAAACGGCAAAGGTTGGAACGTCCACCAACAGGACACGGCGGATCTTCTTGAACCACTTGATCCACGACGTCAATCGAGCGACCATCGAGCGGCCCTCTTCTAGTCACAGCTAGGCATTTTCCCGGAACTCGAAATCGGTGTCTTCAAGTCCAAACGTCCAGAGCAGTCACCAAAAGTTCAATTCTTCAGGGACGCACTCCAACCTTGTCAACAAACAGCTGCGAGGAAACCGCCTGCTCGAAATCGGCACTCTGACGCCCCGGGAAAAAGTCGGGTCCACATAACCTGCAACAGGAGAACCCAAACATGAGTCGAACCGGCCATGAAAACACCGCCTCCTACGACTAACCGGAAACAACCGGCCGCCATCTTGTCCTTGCCCGCCATCTTATATCAAAGTCAAACTTGAATCTAAACCCAACTCAGCTACCAACTCGGAAAATCGGAAAACATCTGCAAAAATGGCCCCCAGAACTTGGATTGCTCATAAAGGAACCAACGAAAAGGACTCTGCCCACAAATTGAAGGATGGAAAGGTAAAGAAAACTTACCAAATACCCAAAACCAGCCACCACAAAGAATGGGCCAGAGAATCGCCACTTCAGCCAAAGGACACTCTCAAAACGGACACGGATCGGACTACGCCACTGAAACAAAATAACAAGCAAATTAAACAAGCCAAAACATCACCACTAGCAAAACTATTTGAAAAAGAGGAAGAGAAAGAAAGAAAAGCAAGACAAAGGCAACATCAGGAACTGCTGAGAAAGAAAAAGCGAGACGCAGAATTTAAGAGAGAGCAACTTGAACAGAGAGAAAAGATCAGGAAACAGAGAATTCAAGCTCAGCGAGAAAGAGAAGCCAGAGAAAGAAAAGAATACGCAGAGAAGCTCAGAAAAGAGGAAGAAGCTCTAAGCTGGTTTGAAGACCCAGGATATACAAATTTGCTAGGAGCATGGGACTCCACTTCGGAATCAGAAATTGAAGTTATAAATTTAGAGGAAAACGATTCAGACATTGAGGAAATCTACTGCACAAGCCCAAAAACAATAAAAACTAATGAAAGGGACCCAGAGTATGTCAGGCAAGTGTTGGAAAACATGAGAGCCCAAGAAAAAGAGATGATGCAAGAAATAATGGAAATAGAATTCCAAATAAAAGCTATAGAAAAAGTGGACTCACCAGGACTACGAAAGGAACAGCCCAAGCCAGCGCCCGAAAACGCCAACAGTGCCACTACACTGGAAGCCGAATCAAGAGACACGACGCCTCCAGAAAAACCAACGGAGACGGCGGAAACCATAGAAATACTGCAACAAAACAAAGAAGCAAATGAAGAAAACCATCAAACAAAGCCCACCTCGTGCAGAAAACGAGGAAAGCCAAAAAAAGAACACTGTTAGAAATTAGCTCCGAAATTTTATGGAGAAAAACCCTATAATCACGTTCATGGAGACTCCATTCATTTTCCATTTTTTTTCGGAGAGATTTTCTCAGGGCTTAAACAGATGTTCTTCGGAGCATTCCTTGGGTCCAGATGGGAAGTAAAATGCAAGTCTTTCTCAGAAATATGAAAGAGGACTTCGCTGAAGCATTTTTTAGTCTGAAATGGTCAAAGAAGGGACAATCTCATTCGAGTCCATTTGACTCATATCCTGTAACTTTCCCTTAGTATTATGAAAACTGAGCTCAAGAAGTAGGGGTTCACATTTCCCACAATTTTTAACTGGTTGCAAACCTTTTTTTCGTGTTTTTGTGATAGTGAAGCATGCATTTTTGTTCAAAATTCCGAAATTTTTCGGAGAAAGCCCAGAATTTGCATTTATGGAGAGCTCCATGCAGAAGTTTCGGAAAAACTCCATGATTTTTCCATTTTTTTTCGGAATTTTCTGACAGTGAAAGATGCAACAAGTGTGCAAAACCAACCTTTAATGGTGAAGGAAAGATCTTGTTTCCGAGCAAAGAAGTAAACAGCTTCAACAGCGGCTCAAACAAGACCAGAAGAAAAACAACATCAAACCTGAAACAAAACAAACCAATTAACAACTGAGCAGGGAGCGTCAGGTAGGCCCATCACATCAACAAGTAAACTACAGTAAAACAACAATAAATCACCAAACCAGAAGAAAAGTAAAAGAAAAGCAACACTCACCAGAAGAAACCGTTAAAAAAAAAAAAAAAAAAAGAGGTTAGGAGTTGGGACATGCAAACAACAGCCTCAAACCACATGCAAGTAAAAAAAAAAAGAAGACAGCAACAAGTAAACAAACTTAGATTTAATAACGATGGACAAACTTAGTTCTAATAGGATCCCAGTGGGAGAACGGGCCTTAAGACTTGTGTGAGCAAAACAAACAATCGCAAAAGCTAAATCGCTTACATGAATAATATTAACATGAGCAAAAACAAGAAATGACACCATTCATGAAGATGATAATAGTACAGACAAACAGGAGCTTAATGAAGCACAGTACAAACAAATAAAGCATAGGTGACATCAGTGAATGAGTAATAGCTTAAGGAAACAGAGATCAATACAACTTAATGTGATTGAAACTACGAGTACATAAACGGCAGTGACAATCTGGAAGGTGGGCAATCCCGGCCTGTCTCTCCTCTTCATCACGGGGGAATCTAAAGATTGTAATTCCAGCAGGGGGAATATCGGAACTGCAGGGGATCGCTTCAAAAAGATCTCCCATATTAAGGTCAGGATTCCCGGGAAGAAAACCAAAGTCACCGGGGTTGCCCATTAAAGGGCCGAGGGCTACCTCCTGGTTCCCCATGGCCTCCACCTCCTGCACTAATTGCTCCATCTAAACAAGATAGAGAGCACTCAAACCCAAAACCCACACCATCTCGTAAAATAAACCCAAACCAAGAAACTCGCCTGATCTAAAGGAATGTCGGGATTAGGCAGTGGGGGCAAGTCCCGGATAGCATAACCTGGGGCGGCGCCGATCCCCGGCCCACGCCAAAGGAAGGGGGGTTCCAGTACAGGAGGGACACCCTCATCATCAACAATGACGACGTCAGGGTCATCGACACCCTCAGCCTGAAGGGCGTCGACATCGACGTGCCCAGCCCAGAAAGGCTCTAGCTCAAGCACAGGGAGCGGGGGGGATATCCTCTTCTGCCCAACCAGGAAAGTCTAAGGCGTCATCCTCAGCCCAACCGGGGAAAAGGAAGGGACCATCAACATGCTCAACCGCCAGAAGGGCCTAAACAAAGACAGGAAAAAGGAATAAGAGGAATAAAAATTAAAGAGGCAGAAGGGGGTGAGAAGAATGCACCGCCAAAGGACTCACAAAAACGGCGTTGTTGCACCGCAAACAACTGAACAAAGGGTGCGTGTCGGCAAGAGCAGCATCATCCCACTCTTGTACTTCAAAAATACCCTGGGGGGGTTCATGGGGCACGATCTGGTCAGGAACATGGGGGTCGGGGCCCGCAACGTGACACTCACCGCAGAGCTACACCAAGAAAACACAAGCCATGCCACATGCACGAATACAAGACCAAAACGGGAGTAAAAATCTACTTACGAATCCACCATGACCTCCGCCATTGGGCCCATCGCAGAAGCACCACGCCGAAACGGCATGAAAATGGAGAGTGAGAACCACCATCGCGCAAAGGGCAAACGGAACAAACGGAAGACTGACCGCGCTGAGCTCTTCACTCTAAGTGACGCTACCAATGCCCCCAACGCCAGCGAGAAGGACGCCGCAAGCACAATCAGCCAATCCGGAGCCAAGAATACGTCAGCTGACTCGAGCCGACCAATCACAAGCCGCGCGCAACAGTCAGAAGCGCACCGCAAGGCTCCGACCTGCGCAAACTCGACGCAACGCAGGCTAGCAACGGACAGCTACGGTACGACACGCGACTCCAGCGCTACGCGCACTGGCGGCGGTGCACCGTACCAGACCGCGCTAGGAACCCGACGCGAGGAGTATCGCCAGACGCAAGCGCACGCACGGCTCCACAAGGAGTGTCGTCAGTCGCAAACCCGAATAAAACCACAATAAACATTGTAAACCTGACTGTACAGACATGGAAAGAAGTAAAACTATTATAAATGCTTCGCATTTCCTTCATTCGGAGAGGAGTGAAAGTACAAACAGAGTTCAGCAACTAAAAGTCTAAATTCACAGAACCACTGTCGACTTGGCGCGCGCCTAGCAAGCCAAAATGATCTTCATCATGATGAACGTCGCCTTCTTGGCCATCGTCGCTGCACTGATGGTGCATTACTTCATGAAAGAACGTCGCCCGATGGCTCCAATTATCTACCTGGAAGGAAACATCGCAGCCGGAAAATCGACTCTTGCAGCCAACCTCAAGAGATTGGAGCTTTTCCCAGTACTGGACGAGCCCGTCAAGGATTGGCAGGACGTGGAAGGACACAACTTGCTAGAACTTCTCTACACCGACCGAGCCACTTGGAGCTACCCCTTCCAAGTACTCGCACTAGACACGCTTGGCCGCCGCCAAACCAGCTTGCTGGCCAACCACCCAGAAGGGCTGACTGTCCTGGAGCGCTCGCCCCAGTGCTCACTAAGAGTGTTCGCTCAAGCCCTCGCCGAGATGAACGCCATCGGCCGAGAACACATGGCCATTCTACGAATCCTGCGCGACGCCGTCGCCCCGCCCACTCAGCGGCCGATTCACTACATCTACGTACGCACGCCACCGGCCATAGCGTACCAACGATTGAACCACAGAGGCCGCACAGAGGAAGTAGGTGTCACCGTCGAGTACCTCACCCTGCTACACGACCTGACCGACGCCTGGCTGCTGCAAGAGGAAGCCAACCCAGTTCACGTCCTAGATGGAACGCTCACCCCTGCGCAACTGCTAGCAGCCGCCCTGGACATTATCCAGAACCTGAGAGATGACGTCACGCCAGCCCAGGAGCCCCAGCCCATACGCGAGGAGTAGTTCCATAAGTTAAGTATTTGCACTAGCAAACAGCTAATTAGGTCTCTTAGATTTCGAGGTGCCTGCAGAGTAGGATTAGCTAGATAGTCAGGATGGCACCAGGCAAACCAACCAGACAGAGTAGAGGTTGGATACTTAAAAGCGCAAAACTGTGTAGAGTGTTTTTCTGTCTGTTTCAGTTGGAGCTTCACCAGAACTAACACAAATTTTTGGTTGGCCCACAGGCGGAACATCCCAACTTCACGCGGTGTTGCAAATCGTGACGACGGTTGTAACATCCGTTTGGAGCTGTTGGAGTCTACCTGGCGTCTGAGATGTTAAAGGCCAACTATTCTTTATTTTTCTTTTTTTAACAACAAGCCGACCCGCGGGCTTAGGACTGGACACCCTAACGCCTGGCACCCAGAAGGTGTAATGGGGGAGCGAGCCTTTGTAGCATCACATCAAGACAGCGAGCAGTCGTCATCAACTCAAGAAAGAAAAACTCAAGAAATTATCAAAATTGGACATTTAATCAGACTTAAAAATTGAGCTAAATTGAGTGAGAGAGTGGGAAGATAGTTCAAAATTTTTAAACCAACACGTCAATTCAAGTCAGCATTCTAAGTAAAGATCTGGAGAAAAGGGTGTACGAGGAAAATTTTGAGAAACTTCGTTTCTTTCATTCAGGAGGGAGTGGTGTTATGATATGAAACAATAGAGAACATAACCAAAGCACGGCCTCTAGACGGTCATTCCCCAGTTTTCTAACCACTGCCCTAGCGATCCTGGCCAGGACCTCAACCCTTCTTCTTTTCGTTCTTCCCTCAAATACCCTGGTTCCTAAATCCCATTGGCCATGCACCCCCACTCTCCACCATACTGTTCTTCCCTATGTTCTTCTGCATCTGTAATATAAAGGCGCGCTGTCTGGCGCCAGCCACCATTCTGTACACGGTCACCTTGCTGATAATACAGAAGCTTCCGTCTCCACGAGACCTTCGACTACCCTTTCCCTCCAAGTCCCTTACACTGCCACACTATAACAATACTCACAAGAAACGCAAGATGAACCACAATATTGTCACTACAACAATAATAGAAATGTCGTTTCTGTACAAAACCATGAAACTCCAATTGTAAGTAACATTGAAAATAATTACAACAGTACATTATATATAATTCCAATGATAATTTTTTTCTAAACAATATAATTGCAATACAGGAAAGACATCGTAATACACAAAGTGATGATAGAAATCAAAATATAATTCATAATATACCTGACCAAATAATGGAAAATATCATTGAAGAACAAAGCAATAACCGAAGTTTCAATACTCGGGTATTCATGAACAGACAAGTTTTGCTTCACCATACCACTCCTGATTGCAATGAAGAAGTTACAAATGAACTACAAAGTCAAATGAACCAGTTGCAAATTCAACAACCACAACGCACTCAGAATGTCCAATCAACA